TGCCTCCTTTGCGTTACTTCGGTCTCTTTTCTGGAGTCGTCCAATCGCGTTTTTCCATACACTGCGATTGTTTTCAGGGCTTTTGGTTTTGTTTTCCTTGGCACAAGCCAGCAGACTCAGACAATCCACTTCAGGTTATTGGTTTCCCCTCTCAGCGACGCCTGTCATGGAGTAAAGCCTGCTACAAAATGACTTAGTTCCAAAGCACAAGGTAGGCCAGTAGAGGGCATCAGCAATCTCAGCCGTTGTTTTCTGGTTGCGAATTCACTTAATTATCCACTGGTTAATACGACCATTTTCGCTAGGTTTCAATGTGGACGGTGAATTTTATGACATGCTGTGCGTTTTACTCAGAGGTTCAAACTGCAGTTAAGGTGATGGAGTTATATTAGTTATGTAATGTAGATACTTTGGATAGGCTCTTGAGACTATACCGTATAGGATGTGCCGTAGCCTGATATCGAAGTACTTAGTTTCTGGTCTTCGGACGCGGGCGTATTATAACGGCATTATAACCTCACAGGAGGAGCACAACGGTAGGCACAGACTGCCCTTGAGGATATCATAGCTTGCTTGTCAATTGATCGAAATATATTACGCGTAGGCTGTGAGCGAGATTTGCTCAAGGACCCATCTTCGGATTTAAATTCTCTGGTTTGACACGCAAACTGCAGAAGAATGAGCTTTTGTGCCCTCTGGGAGGTTGTGTAAGTTGAGCGTCCCCTGTCCAGATATTCTTATTTTCCCCACCTACGTATCAAATGAGCATCACCGCTCGTTCGAGTGTCAAAGCCAGTTATTCTGGTCGCCCCGTGCGCTTTGCTTCGCCTCTGCCGAATGCTTTGTGGTGACTCAACCGCATATGCTGTGCAAATCATAAATCGAACACGTGCACTCACACTTCCTGCCTCGGGCGCGTCATCGCGTACGCACAAAGCCAGGCGGACGACAAACAGATCGCACACGATTGTCAAGGGAGGGGTGCGGCTTTTGGCTGATGCGGTGAACGATCCATGTGTGCGCCTTCATAAATCACAAATGATGCTGAATAATCACCCGCGTGAAGTTGCACACGCCGGACATCCTCGATACAGTCCACGCGTCAAGCGCCGCTCATCTTCAAGTAGAAATACGACGCGGAAGCGAGCCGTACCTATAGGTAACACCGGATTGCTGACTTAATTTACCTACGTCTGGGCTTTGACAACGTCCGTATAGTGTTCCTTCACACACCCTGTGACATTTTATGGGGATTGAAAGTCGTTTCCAAAAATGTGGATGAGGATAAAAGCATTGTATTCGACATTGCTGAATTCATGCTAAACGGAGGAATTACGACCAATCGAGCTTTACGCGCGAATGTCACAGTATCTTGAACCAGTGGCGTGGAACTCTATGGTGAAGCTGTAGATGGCTTTCGATCTTATTCGCTGTCAATATAGAGTATGTAAGTGTCTTCAGGAAGGTAAAGTCTCAGGCTCACGTTGACAAATTATGGGGGTTGCTTTGGCCGCGCTTTTCAGGAAACAATTTCCTGAGAGATTTTTTTCTCATGAACAACAGCTCTTTGTAGTTTGCTGTTATGGATCAGACGTCCACATTTTACTCCAATTGCACCAAGTCGGAAGTAAACTGCTAATTATTATAACTTTTCCAAGTAGGACCAGCTGTTATAAAAATCAATCGTTGAGACTGGGTTTGAACTTGATTTGTTTTCGAACAACTTCATCTGGACTGGTAGCACATTTTGGGATGTATCAGTTGCTTATTGTTTGAACGGCCCTGTTCAACATCGGTGATCCCACAGCTCTCTGCAAACACTTTTTACTACAACGTTTGCGACATAATTAGGTCATTCAAAACGTCCATTTTTTAGTTTTGTCAGGCCTTAATAAAAACAGACAACTCCTTGCTCCTGTATAATGGTAGGGTTGTGTGCACGTCTTAACCTAATTAGTGCTGTAAAATGTGGTTTGAGATTTTTTTGCCGGACACGATCACAGGTAGTATAAGATTAGGAAAAATGTTGCACATGCCACGCGATCCCTAGATGCTTACCGTCGGAAGATAAAGGGTTAATCGAGTGAAGAGATCCAGCTTGCATCCATTTAGCTTCAGTCGCAGAAAACTGATGAATCTATCGGTAAGTCTACCTTTTTCCCGATATTAGCCTAGAGAGCTCACGCGGAAATTCCTGTTACATGTACACCGTGGCACTACCAATGCATGTGCTACCAGCTAAACGACTTGGTCTTGAGCAAACCTATCGATGCTCCTGATGATTCTGGTTCATTTGATAAGTATGAAGAGGTAAAATGTGAAGATGCTGCCGGTTTTCTCAGTGTTGTTCACGTGCTGAATGAATGCATAAAGTGCAATACTGCGAGCCTTTTCGCTAGTTCCTTCACAACGAATTCTTTCAAGATCTCAGCGTCCGTTGAGATTTTGGAGACCACTATAAATTTCGTTGAATTCTAACTCTACTTAGGCAGCACGTGTCTTCAAACATGCTCGTTTAGTGGACTAATACATCCCTGTGTTTTCAATGAATTTGGATGGTCGGCATTCTCAATTAAATCAGTGAATGTTAGTAACATATATAGACCGTCAGTATACGAACACCTAACAGATCCTATCGAGCAGCTCGTGAGAAGTCTCTGGGAACTTGCCTTAAGTTGTGCAAGTGTTGTACACGTCGGCTACTGTATAGACCCCATATAGGATGTTTATTGTAAAGGAACGTGGCATAATCCTCGCCTTCCAATCCATCAGACTCTACGACCACGTCATATTCCTGCGGCACTCAACCATTCGTGGTCATGATTTAGCAGACCTGTTCCACCAGGATTGTGGTGATGTGCGCGTTCGCCGTGATCGTGTCGGCATCGATTAATGCTATCGGCAACGAGTAACAATGTGTCACTACCACAGCATCGGCAAAACCACTTTCGAAATTCCCTTGTGGCTGTGTACTGGTTAGTTATCAGCAGTACCATGTAACGCTTATTTGAGTCTGTGGCCGAAGACACACTTGATGTATTCCACCATACCGACCGAACTTTGATCACCATTCGGTCCCACTAAAAAAACATTGTTTTGCCGTCCCAAAGGACCTAGGAGACATGTAGATTGTCCAGTAAATTTTATATGATGTGCGAATCTAGTATATTGGTTTTATCACCCGCGGGACCCAGTAAAATTAGTCCATTTTAACGGAAGACCCCTATTCGTGGGGGTGGGGGGTGGCCGGAACTATAATTTTGCGTGACAATCGAATGGCTCACAAGTTAAATATTTATGTTCATTTTCATATACACTCCCAATTCGATCCGGTTGGAAGTGTAGTTTTGCAAAATGGGTTTTAAACGTGAAAATGCTTCTTTTCATAATTTTACTTGAAGTAACTGCTATGTGGCTCCTCCCAGGGTTTTAAAACTGCTTATCACTCACGGCTTCATTTTCCATTGAGCTCTATGGTCGGTCGTCTTGAAATTTGTCGTTACATAAAGAATATGACGATAGTGTGGCAAAGCCAAATTCCCTGGTAGGCAAATACTGGCAGATCGGTCACTCACCGTAGTCGAACTAAGCCCAACAGTGAGGAGGTCGGCTTTCACGCCGCAGTTATGTGCATCAGTGGGATGTTTATTTGGGGTTCCAACTGGAAGAAACTTGCTCCAATCGTCGACAGTTCAGTATTTTTACGCCATGATTACCAGGATGATCGGTCTGGTTAAATTTTGAAGCCGGAGCGGTTTTGACAACTGGCATGAAAATTACGGCCGGAGCGTGATAAAACGCATTTACTTGAACTAAGCTGTTTTAGAACAGAACATGTGTGACTCTTCGAAGTTTGAAGAGGCGTTTGAATAAAGAATGATACATTTCACATTTATCAGGGCATATCTAGGGGCAACTACGGATGCGAAAAGTCCGATGTTGCTGCAACCCGTCCATTCATAAGCCTCAGTAGCCTTACACAAGTGGAGTAATGTCCAATGACATCTTTCCGTTTGGGCTAGATGGATTCCATTTCGTCCTTAAGATACAGGGGCATCATGTTCCCAATAACGTGATTGCGTAAGGATCATGGCCCTTCGGCTGCATTGGGCCTCCATCGAGTGACTTCGTCCACAATGGTTTGAGATGTTTGCGACGTTGACAAGAAACAGTAGAGTAGTAGTTACCTTCCAGGTCCAGGTCCATGGTTTGCTGCATTATACGTGAGCGATGAAACCACACTTTGACACAGAAAGTGTACATGTCAAGCTCATTAGGGAGTGCCAGCAACACTATCAGATTAGCCAAACTTAAACACCCTGGCTCAGCACAGCTGAACAAAATCTGGTCTCGCTGAGATACACTCATCTCCGAATTGAGCTGGTGTGAACAGAAAACTCGACTGAATTCTAGCTGGGTCTGTTGTTTATGGTATACTGAATGTGCTACACAAAGGTTGTTAGGAAAACATACTGCGATATCTCGGATACCGTAGCAACTAAGGCGGCATATGTGCAGTAAGTTCAATTGAAGAATGTGTACTTCGCCACTTGCTTGCAATTTGGTGTTCAAGTGAAACATAAGGTCAACGGAAACCGGTTGATGAGCTTTTAGAAGGCTGAAGCGGGTCCTGGGCTATCGATGAGTTTCCAGCAACCCCGTGAGTAGTGTGTTCCATCAAGCAATTAGTTTTCGTGCCAAATAGTTTTCACATTTTTTAACGAACTGTCATCGGTTGTCTCCGAACTGAGTTCAAAGAAGCTGAGGGAGTTTAGGTTCCGTAGATGGTTGATTCATGGTGAAAATGCTGTTGGTCACACCGGATGTATTAACTAGGACTTGCTGATCCTTCGACCAGCAAGGATGGCTTTTATCAAAGAAAGACTAGGTATTTCTACCAGATAACCTTTGGTATGGTGCGAACTGCTTTAACATGCGGTAAGTGATTAAGCATTGCTCCACCACTTCTTTGGAGATTGTTTCCGTGCATTCTTCTTCAGAGGGCCTTCTAGCCTTGCAGCTGCTGCACTCCGGGTCGACACCGGGCTCCAACTTTTCTTCAATTGGTGGCGCAATGACCATGGCACGCCGAGGTATTCACGAACCTTATCCATTTGTCTCCGTATCCACAGCATGTCCCTATCCACCTACGGTGGCAGTCACAAACTCCCATGTTTCTGCCGTGAATAATGGTCCTGTGAAGCTGCCTTTCTGTCCTCCCCCGCCACCGGACCAACCGTTACCTCCACTCCCACCACCATCCACTTCACCAGATTTGATACAAAGGCAACCGTTTCCCGATAATCCTTCCGGCAATCGGATACAAGGTTCCAATGTCCCTTCAGTCGCGCCCTATGCCCCTCCTTTCCCAACACACTCATTTGCTCCAGACAGTGGGCTTATGCTCTCACTAGGTGAGTTTTTTGGCGTCGTGTGTGCTGTCCGTTTGCAATATATATATAGTCTTTCATTGTCTCATTTTATTCTACGTTTCCACGGGAATAGATATGCTGTATGAACAATCGCTATAGGGAAGAGCCAGGTCCTATTTGTCTCCTGACCCATAGTGTGTAACTGTTGGTGGTACTATAAAATTATGAAGTGTGGGTAGTCATGGATTGGCATCCGAAGTATCCTCGGTAGTCATCCGTGATTATGCTCATATAATTCAGTTTTGGCATCATCATCATCATTCGTGAACCGTAGACCGGTATGATAGTGGTTCTACTTGCGATATAATTACCTTCTTATTTTGATGAACTCTGTTCATGATACCTGATTTCTTAGGTATTTTTGGGTTTTGAATGACACAATCAGTAGTGGAATATCAGTGTGGATGTCATATTGAATATGATCAATATGGATTTGAATCCATACGAATGAGGAGAGGCCAGACGAACCAACTCTTCTCAGCCGGTACACGGGTACGAAGTTCAAGGAACAACTGAGAAACATTCACCCAATATGGTCGAGAGGGGATACAAGCCTTATGGACATCATCCTGTGCTCAAAGAATAAAATTTGATTTGACAACCTTTCCGGGAAGTGAATTAGAGCCCTTATGGTAGCCGTATAAGTAGCGAAACATGTGAATAGAAAATTTTGCGTTCCGAAATAGAAGAAAATTCACTGGTCAATGGGCTGAGGAAGCAAGCTGAAGGAAGCTGTTTCTGTACGATGCAAGGTCAGGAACATGACTGTCGACACCAAGGGCCAAATTGTGCAAGAGATCAGCTAATTTGATCCGCGGCCTCTGAGATTTGGACGCATTTGGCCTCCCACAAGCACCTCCTGGGTTCCCCAGGAAACTGTAGTTGACTGACATCCTTCTCTTTAATCCTATCTCCTCGACAGCGTACCAACCATCATGAAAAATCAGCCAGTTCAGTTTTTAGACCACCATAGCTACAAAACCGCGGCAGTAAAAGGGACCTTTTCACAATTTACCAGCTACCCACTTCGATTCCAAACCTCATTCGGGAGCGTGATCATATATCCATTAGTATAAGCTTAAACAGGTTTTAGGGATGGGACTGACAAAATGGCCTAGTTAATTTACTGACTCATCTCTCTGAGACGCACGTGTTCATAGACCATGTGAGTCCCGAAATCAGGCAGTTACCTGTCATCGTTCAGGCGCCAGAATGCTTGTACGTGACTCAGCCCTCTGTGGATTGAAGGTAATTCCAAAGTCGCGCGGTGGAATACAAGTGATAACTGGTTTAATCGGCGTTACATTTACGGCAACTTGTGTGGTAGTCTAAATTGACCAGAAGTCAACTGTTCTCGGTTTAACCCCACTTGTGTTTTCCGGTTTGAAAGCTGCGATTTTAGTGATAGATGTCTATTCAGACAATATCTGATGACGGATGTGGTTTGATGAAGTGATCTTCTAACCTCCCAAACGTACTTTTGCGTGTGGAGACTGCGGCAGCATAAAAACCAGAACGAGGCCAAGTTCTCTCTCTGTGGAACTATCAGAGACGATTAAACTGCATTGGTTGCTGGTGCCTAAGCTTTATACTTACACACCTTTTTCTTGATAGGACATACTAGTCATAAGATTATCGGGAACTGTGGACAGCGCACTACCTGGTCAGCTTCATTTGGAGTCTCCGAATTTCAGGGAGTATTATCCCTTGGCATGATGAAACCAAACTGTCAGCGGTCACCCGAATCTAAGTCAACCAACTAAATCAACTGATGACTACCTAAAGCTTGGTGAGCACCGAGCCGACTGCGAGTGCACTACTCAGTCCGGATGGGGTGGGTGAAAACACCACTTAATGGGCGTTATAATGACGGTGCCAAGCGATTCCATAACAGAATACTAGAACCCGACATCCGCGAGTCAGAGGATCACATGATCAGGAAAACTTTGACCCAGACAACTCCGCTGTCTAGATTATTGATGTAAACTTTGACCAAGGAAAGTGCAAATGCTTGACGTCCGCCAAAACTTGCTCCTCAACGGCCGTGTGCTCGCGGTAAATTTTGCGTCTCTTGGATGCTCCAAGTCACGTTGTTTCCTTTCCACAAAGTGCAGCATCGGAAAAAATGCTCCATGCCACAGAATTCGTGTTTAAGTTGAATACGCATTGCTGACTGCGGATTTGATAACCGTAGGCTCGCTGCACAACACAGGATGTTCATCAAAACTGAAGATTAAGCTCGAGGAACGGCGGTGTGTCTGTTAGAGAACTATCTTTTATCTAGTGCACTCACTCCGTTGGAAGCGAAATATTCCATCGAGCACTGAAAATTGGATGGCATTTTGCCTAAGCGTCAACTTCTCTAACGGAATGGGACACTTGGTATCCACCGAAGGTTTTCCTCATTTGGGCCTTAGATCCTGCGGTTTCTCTACTTTCTGTGGGTTGCACGGCATCTGTCTTCTAAAAGGATTCCACAGTTAAATGGTTGTGTTTTGCACCGGAGTGAGTTGTGGCGTCCGGTATGTTATATTTCCCATCTAATTGTGGAGGACCATACTGACGACACCGAAATTTGATCCGCTCAACACAGATAATCAGAGAACACCAGACAGATAAATCGTTGTGTGGCAAAACACAACCCACCAGACACGACCGTTGTTCTTGTGACCACAATAACATTCCTCATATGTAAAGGAGACACGAGTGTGGTGTTCAAGGTCATCTGTTGGGTCCTGTTTGTCCGATGCCCACTCAGTCTGGCGTGCATGTCTTCAGTTAGTGTGTTTTAACAACGTGCGGTATTTTACGGTGCACCGTTTCGCTATATCAGTTAACTTGCTCTTGAATTAGTTGAGTGAAAGAATGAGGGCCACCACGATCCTGATTTTCTGAAAGAGTCAGTCTAGATTCATCGGTGTCTTTGCGTGAGACCTAATCCTTTGAGTTTCAGCAGTGAGAGTATTCCATCTTTATGCTACTGATAGTTCACTGGATCATATCCAGATCTCACAGTGCTTACCATCAATCTTTTCTCTCTTTACTAGATGGATCCATGCCAGAATATGCCAGCGCTTCCCTATTTAGCGGTACTGGCAGTGTTCAACCGAGCCCAGGTCAGCCACCGCTAACCGGTCCCCCAAGCGCCAAACCTCTGGGGCCGGATTGCGACAAGACAAAGGGTTCTGGCGAAACCTACTGTGTCCCACATCAGAACGGTATTCGTGGCCATGGCAACCTATGGGGGCTCTCTCAATCACAATTCCCTCCTAGACTTGATTTGTTGACTACTGGCACCAACATAACATTCTCTACTGTTCCTGGAACCAACAGCGACTGCCACACAGGTAGCCTGGGTTCCAGCGGAATGTATTACCTTACCAATACGACAGATTCGGCACAGTTCGATTTGAATCAGATCCCGGTACACGACCCTAGCTTGCATCCATCAGCAATGTTTCTTCCGTTTCCGTCTTCTACCCATTTTGTACCGATGCATGGGCTAGCTCTCTTTCCAGAACAAGGGGTTGATGTATCTGGTGGCGTTCTCAAGTTTCCGCAGAACCTGTTTGACACCCAGCGAGCAACAGCTGATAGTGAATTCTCTCGTTTTGCAGCTTCGTTGAATCACTCTGCCTCTGGTACAAATGGCACGACAGACACGACCGATGGTCAGGGGGATTCCGGATAGACCGCTTATCACTTTGTCTGCACCTTCTATATCCCTGTAACCGTGTAACACCTTCTATGGCATACGTTACACAGCCAAATCCATATTTGCTGTAGCCCGATTCCAAGCTGTTTTCACTGGTCGCCCTTCGAGCCAAGCGTGATCGCCGATTTGCTAGTCATGTGAATATCCTTATACTTTGGGTGGTTCATTCAGCTCCCCCGCCTTCCACTGCCGTTACCTCTCCTTTTTGTAATATTTCTGCTTGTGTCTGTTACCCTAACCAACCAATAATCTTCATCTGTACATACTACCCTTGTGAGTAGGCCAAATTCCGTCCACTTACTGATCAATCGACGTTGTTAAGGTATGCATGTTGTTTCCGATTTTGCTTCACGATTATTCCTGCGGTTCCCAATCATGTTTTGAAAACCAACCCGTCGCCACTTTGTTTTACGTGTTGCTTTCCAAGTTTCGTACCAGCTTCGTTTCACTGCAATTCATGGTGATGTTACAAGAAACCTGCCATTAATCAGGTTTAGATTTGACCGAATTAATGATCGATTCCGCGTTCTGTGACTCTGTTTATCGTGAGACGCCTTTGGGACCGCAGCCTAAAAGAATAGTCATCGCTGACATTGGCGCCTTATTCGCTTTCATACCAGATTCTTTATCGTCCTTTTTACACATTATGCGTTCAGCTGTTCACCTTCGTGCGTGTAAGTACGCGATCACACTCCCCGGGCAAACAGCCCGCTCACTCGTTTTTCATTGTATAATTGTTTTCTCTGTATAATAATATTGCGTTTCTTATGGATTCAAGATTTTGCCGGAATCCAGGTTGTTGCGGCATACATGTATGTATTTGCCTCAATTTTTTTCCTAGTGGGTCCAGCCAATGCCAGCAAATTTGTGATCACATCAGCGGTATACGTAGATTACCAAACGAACATTCGGACTTTATTGGCTCTAGTACGCCTTATTAGTATATTTGTGAAAGTACTTGACAAAACTAGCGAGTTCTGCCTCATATTCTTGTCGCTTTGCTAACAATCTCCCATTGAGGTAATTCAGGGTTCAATAAAGGCTCAAGCAATATGTTTCATAGAGGAAAATGTGCGTAGCGGTAACCAACCACTACCCACAACTACGCTCACCAATAACGCACTGGTGATGTCACCTCAATTGGTGATGGAACGTTTGCAACCAAATTGCCCAGCTCACCGAACAAGCCAACGACCAATAAATATGTTTGGTCACAGCATGATTGAACGCTTATAAGTGCGCCTGCGAAGCGTTAGTATTTTCTAGTTCATCCAACATTCCCTGGATTGCTGCGTACAACTTTCACAGGTTGTAGCGCAGATGGTCGACCATACTACTTCCAGACTAGCTTTTAGTTATTGTTCCCGTCCTACGCGGAATACATTGATCAAAACAGCTCGCCTTATGAAATGCGAAAGCTAAACTAGAGCAATGTTCGAACAGAAACATACGTCATGTGCTGCCTAAGAGGTGATCTTTGTCGCGTTGGAGACTGCAGCCTACTTTGAGACGTTTAACAAAACGTGTAACTTGCTAGCGGCTATTCTTGTTTTACGTGGTCTGGAAGATCCACGGTGTTCGACAGAGAGAAGTACTGTTCTCATTCCTTTAAAAGGGCTGGTTCGTCTATTTCCGAACGAAAACTTCGCGGCAACCCCGGGTTAGAACTGACCCAAAGTATGCGGTAGGTGCGGTTGACCTGACTTCTAGGCTCTTGGGACCGTAGTATGCACAGGAAAGTCCACAGGTTTAGGTTAGCTGAGTTTTTGCGTGGCCAGACCATGGGACCTCCTGTGAATCGCATGAATTACATGCAGTTCTAGTCAATTAAACTAGGAGAATTAAGTAAAATGAGCTTCCTGCGCGGTGCGCATTGTGAGCTGATCTGTGCTAACCTAGGAAGCACACCGAGAACGTTGATTCTATCATGCGGTTGAGGATACTGTGCCACGGTGTGAACCGTTGCCGAGCACCAGTTCTCATCTTGTATGGCGCACGCGTAGTATAGTCCATTGTCGTTAGCATATTTCATGAATTCAGTGACAACAATTAAGTGGTTGTGATAGTTCTTTGTTGCTAGAGCATATTTCCTAGGTACATCTGATGACTGCCCCTCAGTCTTCCTTAGAGAATCACCCCTGCCTCAGTGAGTTCTATTGTTCACTAGAAAGCAAGTTTGCCAAAAACGCAGATGACTGTCTTCCTGTACATTATCGCTCGAGCTAGTTCATTTGAGTGAGTTCTTTTGAATATAACAACATGAACTGGAAAAGAGTTAGGGTTGCTTGGAAAAAAACAAAGGATGTGCAACTTTTCATTTCTTCCTTTGATGGAATCTCGTCACTATGTGGTTAGTGTGCAACCGGCCGTACGGTGTACAAAGGGATGTCTTGAAACCAGTTCAACCGAATTGGTGCAACAGTCCTTCTTCCCGCTGATCTCAATAATTTGACCAAAACCAGTGAAGCTCAACACACTGCTCATTTTTATCTCGATGGTTTTTACCAAATACTACACCGAAGAATCCCGGCAGATAAGCGATGCCCATACCCATAAACGACTACGGAATCAAATGACGCTGAATGGGACCAAGATGTCAACTGTCCTCAGCCATTCCTGGATCATCCTCACTAGGAACTAATTGCTTTGCATCGGCAATGTACAACGAAGCACTAGTTTCTGCGAAATGGCCACTGTAACATAGGTGGTGCTCAGTTACTATGCTAGTCGTTGGATGTCAACTAAGGGGCGAAATTTGTGGTTGATGAGGTTCCTCGATGTCAAGCGCTTGAGAAGAGTTCCTAAGGAAGGACGACTCATTTTTCTCACTTATACATTTCGTTTGACAGGTGTTCATTCGAAATTAGAATCAGGAAGCTATTGGTCATATCGGTGGACCGTTACAGGGCATACTGATTCCAAGCGTGACAGCTACAATTTCTACCGTCTTTTTTGTAGTCCTGAATGCATAGCAGAGCTTTTGCGCATTATTTGTATCAGCTGTTTCGTTTGGCTAAAGTAAGAATAAAACACTACGGCATCTTGGAAGTAAAAAATCCCCCGCTTGAATGAGAATATGCCGCTGGACAGAAAACGGATTAACGAATTCTTACTTAACGAATGCGTGGTACTGAGGGCGCTTGTCTGTCACTGTCATGGGCACGAACTTTACGCACGATTTGCCACGTATCTACCGAATGGACTGGTATTTGTTTTCTGTCACTACTGTAAGTGAATTTATGTGGAAAATTACGAACCTTTGATATTGCGGCTGACGATAATGAAGCAAATGCCGACGTACCGCAATCATTGTTTTCTACCTGCGTTATCAAAGGGAATAGGCGTTTTCGTTGGGTCTCACCGTGGATATCTTTTCTTGTAAAGTGTACTTCTGGTTTTTTATGTGGGACACTGGCGCATATAAAACACTCAATAAGGGAAGGATATTAGCGAAGACACTGTCAACCTAGAGTTTGAATAATGGCATCAGATACATTATCGGACCATCCGATCAAACATAACGAAAACCAAACCGAGGTGTAAAGTAAGCCAAGCGGAATGAAACACACGATCACGGAAATTACTTTCATCCATTGCTTCTGGAGAGGAAATATTGTACGGGTGGAATGCAAAAACTATTGGCAGCTGATCCAGCATATCCTCATACATCGTAGCATAGGACAATAAGTGACAGATTCTCTGGTTGTATTCTAGTTATGCAATCGATTATTAGACCGAGATAGACCATTTCGGATAACCGCATCAGTCCATAATAACCTCTAGTTGCGTAGGTTAATATCTGGTCGAACATTCCTTTTTGTGGGTATAATCTCTGGAGGAAATCCAGAGTGGGACAAAATTAGGATTGGAGTAAACCAGTTTCTCTTGCGAGGATTTCTCCCTAAAGGACAGTATTACCTCGAATCATCACAAACACGGAAGAGTATATCAGAAGTTACCGGATAACACCGTTTTCCATCTATGCCACTGAGAGCAGCTAGTTTGCCATATCCTCATAATGGGAACCAATCACAAGGTTGCTGAGAGCTCTGATAGTCCACGATCGGTTTTGCTCTTCCTGTGGTTCGTCAGTTAGGTGTAACGCCCGATTTTCTGTCAACGTTATGTTCTGCTTGAATCCAAATTGCACGAAAGTCAACAAATGAACTAATGTGGCTATCAACTTGGTTTTCATGGAAGATTCAACTGAATCTCTTGTTTATGGTGTTCAACCGAATGCGCTGTACAAAGGCATGTTCCACTTGGCACGATGCTTGTGAAATCTCAGAATATCTTGAACGAGAGATTCAGTTGAGTCTCCGGTCAAAACCCAGTTGATAGGCGAATGAGTGTATTTGTCGACCGTCTTGCAGTTCGGGTTCAATTTGAAAATAAGGGCGATGGAAGCCCGGGGACCTCGCCCACCTGATTGGCGCCAAGAACGGCGAAACCTATCATGGCCTGTCGACGAATCTTCACCAACCTTATGAGTAGTGTTACACTAAGACGTAACGTATTACGGTAGCTCGAATGTGGTACTGACTGCAACATTAGACGGGCTGGTGCAGTCTGAACCCAAATTGCACGAAATTAGCGAAATGCATTCGTTTGCTTACCCCGTTTTGGTTTTGACGGGAGATTCGCCATCATAAGCGAGAGTTTCAGCAAGGTTCTAGGTAGGTCTCCCGTCGAAACGGATTTTTTATGCAAATGAGTGTATTTCGCAAATTCTCGGTGCATTCTACTGGAAATTCGACTCGCATAATAGTTGTAGCTACTGAAAACTGTGTTATTTCTACACGTCATGATAGAATAGGTATTTGTCCCTTCTGGCGGTGAAGTTTTGTTGGGGAAAAACAGCAACTTGTTGTCAAATCGAATACGTACCCCGGTTGTAACGACAAATTGTACTTGAGTGATTCCGACTCATGTTTCATCAGCGAAACTTGTTCAACCGTTTATCCACCAAACTTTTC